CTTCCCCGCCCTTCCTTGGTTGGCTGCTCTGCACCCCAGGGGGCGCTTCACCTTCTTTCTCTTCTATCTGTCAAACTACACATTTGATCAATGGCGACCAACTGCAAGACCAAAGAGGTTACTCTGCTTGTTCCACTACGCCCGCCATACCACTGCCCTGCCTGCCTTCCTGTGTACCACGATTACGTGGATCACGGCAACCTTTCACGGCACCTCAGGCGTCACCACGGTGGGCACCTCAACTTCGAATGCCGCATATGCCATGTACGCTCAGAAAAATTGAAAAAGGTCAAACTTCACCAGGCAAAGTCTGCTAATTGTTCTGCACAACTGCCATCACTGTCTCCAAACTGTTCCAGCAGAGACCCAAAAGTTCGCCCCAAGATCCATGCAGGCCCAAACAGGCCGAGAAACCGAATTCGAAGCTGTGGCCTCGACGAGGCCTACCTCGCCTGTTTAGGTAAAACCTGCAACGCCCAGACCAACGCCAGCTCCTGCAACGACCAGTTGAGCTCACCGGTTCCTGTGGCCAGCACCGCTCACGGATCTTCTGCCTCCATCTCCTCAGCTGACAACTTTGCTGTACCACCTCCTGGCACCAACAGCGGGATCCTTCGTCCTTCACAGCCGAGCCTGGGGAGTGAAACCTCTTCCCCACCCCTGGTGAGACGTCCTCGTCGCCCACGATGCCAACGTCAGCGCCGCCGGAACCTGACTCCATGGACAGCCCACTGTGTCCCACCGGCACCTCGGCTCTTGACACCACCACCACCGAGACCACTACTCTAACACCTCAACCCGTGATCCCCAACCACACCACTGCAGCTGAGGACCATCCTGTGCCTCTCCCGCCCAACACCCTGCCGGACAACGACCAACCACAGGTATGTAACCAACCTGACCAACCTTCTACCAGCAGCTCAACGGCAGCTCCTCCTTCCTGGGTCATTGCTCAGAGAGATCGCTTCGACTGTGCCCTTGACATCAACATGCTCAAGGTCATGGTCAGCGATCTCACTTACCTCACCAAATGCATGGCCCCACAGCGACCTGCAAAACCCCCACACCAACATCACCGGCAACACCATACCAGGCCCCAGCACGGCCGCAGGTATGATGCAACCAAAGCCAGTTGTCTGCAACAACTCTACAGAGCCAACAAGAACAAAGCCTTTGAAGAAATAACACATGGCCCGAGCCGCTTCTATAGCATCGACAAACACGACTTGGAAGACCACTTCAGGAACATCAATAGCCACCACCAGGTCCCACAGGAACCTCTGGCTGCCCTCCTCCCCCAAGACCACAAACCGACAGCAACGACCCTCTTTGTAGCACCTTTTCTCCATCCGAAGTAGCAAAGAGACTCGCCAAATGCCAAAACTCCGCCCCGGGACCCGATGGCATCAAATACTACATCTGGCGTCGCCTCGACCCGCAGGGCCACATTCTCTCTGCTCTATTTAACGCGGTCCAGAGAATTGGCGCTGTCCCAGAATCCTGGAAAGTTTCAACCACCATACTTCTTCACAAAAAGGGCGACCGCAACAACATCTGCAACTGGAGACCGATCGCCCTTGCTAACACCCTAGGTAAGATTTACTCTGCCTGTATAGCAAGCCGGCTACTTCAATGGTGTGAAACCAACAACGTTATATCAACCTGCCAAAAAGGATTCATGCGCTTCGAGGGGTGCTCGGAGCACTCCTTTACTCTGCAATCCGTCACACAAGATGCATGCAGGAAAAACAAAGGGTGTCACGTGGCGTGGTTGGACCTTGCCAATGCCTTTGGCTCGGTCCCCCACGAAACCATCCTCACGTGCCTCAAGTGGAGCGGCCTCGGTGACTTGTCCGTCCACTGCATTAAGACTCTTCTCGAAGGCTGCCAGACATGCATCCGATCCAACACCGGGCTAACGGATCCTATTCCTATCCACGCTGGGGTCAGGCAGAGCTGCCCCCTTAGCCCCATCCTGTTTAACTTGGTTGTGGAGCCTGCGCTTCGCCTGATAACCAACCTCAACAAGGGCTACCAACTTCACAATCAGCAGATATCTATCCTCGCATACGCGGATGATATCACCATCATCAGCAACACCATCGATGGCCTTCAAGCCCAACTGGACCTAATATCCACCTGGGCTCAGAAGTGCGGGCTGAAGTTCAACCCCAGCAAATGTGCGGCGCTGTCAGTCGCCGGGAAATACAACTGCGCCGACAGCAACCGCTTCAATATCCAAGGCACCAACATCCCGCAGCTCCATAAAAAAAACCACTACCATCATCTGGGGATTCCAACAGGTTTCACCCTTGAAAATTCGGCTGAGGCTGTTATCGATGGAATCCATAGAGACCTCAAACATATTGACAACTCTCTTCTGGCACCCTGGCAGAAGATCAACTGCGTAAGTACTTTTCTTCTCTCTAGGTTGACCTTCCACCTTACGCTGGTCCAAAAGAAGTCCCTGAACAACCTGGACAGGACCATCAAGAGGCTCACTAGAAAGTGGATGAACCTCTCGCAACGCACCAGCCCAGAGATCATCTATATGCCGCATGCTCAAGGAGGAGCTAACATCACAGCCTGCGGCATACTGGCGGACGTTGCACAAGTTAGCCACGTAATCAACCTTCTGCATTCATTCATTTTATTCAACGTGTTAATACACATTTCCTGGCCCCGCAATTAGCATTACCAGGAAGATATTAAATATACAAGATATATAACGATAATTCAATGCATTGTATAACATAGAATACAGAGTAAAATTATATGCAATAAATAAACATAATATACAGAAATAATTAATACAGATTATATGTAGTATATAATGGAAATATTAACAATAAAATAAATATAATCAAATATATACAAATTAAATTTCATGTAATAGAGAACAAAGTTAAAGGTACAGTGTCATAGTAAAGTACAAAGTAATTGAACAATATGTTCAATATTAAAATATATCATAATTACACATTACATATTTCAATTATATTATGGTACATAGTATCACAGAAATCACATATGATGCATGACATCTTAAATATTTTAGCTACATATGAAGCATTAACGACAATCAATTATCAAACAGAGAATTCACATTTAAAGAGAGAGGTGCTAAACATAGTAGAAGATAATGCAATCAATACGAAAGTATATCAACAATGTAGTCATCATGAATATATATCAACTGTATAAAGTCATCTGTTGAAGTCTAGCTTTCTCTTTAATATAAACTGGACAATTTTTATCCATGGTGTTATGATCGTTATTGTCTAAATTTCCTCGGGAGCAATTAATACACTTGGGTGGATTCTGCTTATTCGGACAACATTTAAATAGATGCTTCTCGTTACAGTGACTACATATATTTTCTTTTTCAGGGCAACGTTTAGCAAAGTGATGGAAAGATAGACATCTGTAACACTGTATTACTGGAATGTAGTCATAAACACGACATGAAGACCATTGTAGATAAATTTTCCCAGCTTTTATCATCTTTTGTCTGATCTCTGGAGTTACTTCCAGTACCCAGGAGACATTTTCAGTATTCTTCTCATTTAATGAGAACTTAATGTGTACCTGTTCAGCAAAGATTCTATCAGTAAAAGTATCTAATAGATATCCATTCTGCTCAAAAATTTGTAAGATTAGATCTTCTTTAGCTACACATTTAGGTACTGATGCTATTTTTATCAGAGGTAATCTTTTTTTAGGTAATTTTGCACTTAGATTAGGAATTTTTTCTGCATTCTCTTTAAAATATTTGACTTCATTTTTGTGTTGTAAATCCACAGCGATACCTCCATTTCCTATTTTTCTAACATTTCGTACTCCTATACCTAACACTCCAGGATTCAGATTGTCTGTTAATTGCTTTTTTGTCTCCTCACAAGTAGCCTCTTTCTTATTGCTATAAACTAGTACTGTGTATTTTGGCGGAGGCGGCTCACTTACATTAAGAATTGGTTTTAATCCTTTCTTTAGAACATCCCTATAACTCGAAGGACAAGAGTCGTTGCCTCCACTAAAATCATCTGATATGTTTTCTCTATTGGTAAGCATGGTATATTGAATATCCTTCATAATTTTGCTAGTTTCTTTCTTTTGAGTTTCTGTAAATCTTAATAAATCTTCCTTTGTTACTAATCCAGATAATGTTTCATTAATTACATTGTTATTGTGAAGGGTTACCTCAGCGAGTTCGACTAATCTCGAGAATTGTGTTAAGATAAATGATAAGTGGCAATCAGCTCCAAATTTAGCATTCGGAAATTGGCGAGAATATTGCCTAATTTCGTCCATAATACCATTAGTACTTTCACGAAATTTCTGCATTATAGATTCCATTTTAAGTAAAATAGTATAAATTTTATTAGAAAGAGAGAAAAACCCAACTTCCGGTTAATGTTCTAGAAGCTTATAGAAGTTGAGGTCAATGACCTTTAACAGGATGTTGAATTTGATGAAATCTAAGAATTGCCGTAATTTAAAAACTATTAGACCGATGATAACGAAATTTTCTGAGCAGGTTACGTTTAAGGTCTTAAGAGAACTGCCTGAGTATTTTGTACAAATGGCCCACCGAAAGAAAGTTAACTGAGTTCGAATTTAGACCGGAAATAGTCGATAATTCCGCAAATATTAAGTCCAGAACAATTAAATTTTAAAGTTTTACTCACATACATAGTGCTAATAAAATAGCGTACCATGATCCGGATGATCGGTCAACTAAGTCCGGTAAACCGAATTCGTAAAATCCAAATTTTCAAAATGGCATAACTTCTTAACGAATTATCCAATTTCTCAACCTTCTGCAATCCAAAGACCCCGCCGTGGCCACCCTCGCCACAAAAACATTACAACTCGTCGTCGAAAAACGTATAAAACGTCCACCGAGCAACGCCTACTTATGTAAGTATCTAGCGGGTTCCATGAAAGATGAGTTTGGGTGCGACCCTTATGATGTACCATCTACATGTACCCGCCTAAGGATGGCCACACGGCGCCTAAGTTCTCGCATCCAGCTCGAATGGCGTGTCGACAGAGACTCCTTTACACCAACGATCAACGAGAGACCACTCACGAAAACCACCGCGATGAAAACTATCACAAATGCGGTCAAAGCCTCCTTCCTCGCCTCGCTGCTTCACAAGCCCGACCAGGGTAAAACTTTTAAACTAATTTCAGGATCCCCGTGCAGCAACCACTTCCTCCACGATGGCAACTATACCAGGTTTGCAGACTGGCGTTTCATTCATCGTGCGAGGTTGAGCGTGGTACCCCTACGTGGCCTGAGACGATTTGGCAATGCCAGCCAAACCTGCAGCAGATGTCAACGCCACCGGGAGACTTTGGCGCATGTGATCAATCACTGCCTGCCAAACTACGCCATGATCACCAAGCAACACAACGCTATTCTAAACAAGCTATACAATGCATTCGATCGCAAAGGGCTAACAGTCTACGTCAACCAACGAATTCCGGGATATCCACACAACTGTCAGCTGGACCTCGTCGTGGCCAATGAACACCCCAAGACCACTACTATCATCGACGTCACGACGCCCTTCGAAAATGGCGAGGAAGCATTCAACCAAGCACGAACAGAAAAAATCATGAAGTATGCCGATCTAGCAGAACACTTCAAACGCCAAGGGTATGACACCTTCACCGACGCATTCATAGTGGGGGCCCTTGGCGGCTACGACCAGGCAAATGACAGCACCGTACAACGGTTAGGAGTGTGAAACCACCGGAAGGGGGGTAGGTCTCCCGATCCGGCAACAGGTTGTTAAACCCTTTCACTGTCAGGATGGGTGGTTGGAGGATTCTTTTCCCCATTGTAACGGGTCGAGTGGCGGAGGGAGGAGCGCGTCGGTGAGACGACAGGCGATATACGAGAAAACGAGGAGGCCAGATATAACATAAGAAAAATTAACAATTTATTAAACCAAGTAATACAACGTATAGTTCGCGTCCCTAAAACGCAGAGAGACCGAGAGAGAGCTTACAATAATTGGTTCCATACCTCTTGATCTGTTATCCACGCTACTCTTTGAATTAGGAAAATTTCTCTTTTAGGAAAGTTCACTGATGTAGGAAAGGTCACTGTTTANGAGACCGAGAGAGAGCTTACAATAATTGGTTCCATACCTCTTGATCTGTTATCCACGCTACTCTTTGAATTAGGAAAATTTCTCTTTTAGGAAAGTTCACTGATGTAGGAAAGGTCACTGGTTAACTATTCAAATCCTGGATTTGGGGAAGTTCACTAGATAAAAAGGACACTATTTGAAATTGATCTTCTTCCGGCACCTGCTCTGGTACGACTCCCCTGAGAAGGGGAAGGAAGGGGGTTTTTATAAGTTCGGCGTGGGAGAATGGTCACATGATTGATTGTTGTGGGGTAAAAGGTATGTAGATGGGTCAGAGTTGTTCCCGGGACCATGCTAACTATCAACTTTGGCGTTGGAATGTGGGATTAGTTTCGAATTGAATGGATGTTTATGTCGAATGTAAACGAAAAGTTTTTTTTTCGTTAGGTTCCACTATAAGTTAAAAGAAAATTTAATTAGATTTTAAGCAAATACGGGACAATTGATCGACAAATAGTCGACAAAAATTCCGGATTTCACATTCACTCCCTGTTTTCTTTAAAATCGCACTTAGTAGTGTGATTTTAAACCTTTGGATTGTTTTGTCTGGATAGAGGTATGTTTACATAGAGAATGGTTCAAATGACCTTTTGCTCTCTTTTTTTCTCTCTCTCTCTTTTTTTTCACCAAAAAAAAATTCGTTCGGTTATATTAAAAGGTCGCGTTGACAAATAAAAGCGATAAAAGAATCTGAGGTGAAATGTAACACTTTGATTATACAAATAAATCCCGGCACGTGTCATTCGCGACAATATTTATTACTCGGGGTGAGAGGACTGGTGTCTTCGAGCTGGAGTGGTTGATTGGTCAGTTGAAATTCCTGTTGACCTGGATACGAGGGTACGGGTCAAAGTTCGGTAGGGTCGAGATTGTTCTTTGTCTCAAAGTTCTTGGTTTCGTCGATTGGATTCTGATGTGCACGAAGTGGTTTTGTCGGCTAAATAACACTTTCAAGCTGATTCTGGACTATAAGGAAGTAGATTGTTGTTATTTTGTAGTGGCAATCAGGTTAGAACTTCTTGTGCGATGGGTTGATTGGCACTTCGAAGTGTTAACATAGTTGGAGTCACGTGCGTTGGACGTCTTCTGCTTAAGAGGTAAAAGTAGCACTTTTCGTTGATTAAAACATTAATAAAAGTTAATAATAATGGAAAAATAATCACTGAGGCCTTTATAGAGGTATGTGGAGGTTACATATATTTATTTTTACTCTCTCTCGGATTTTAAAATACTAACTTTAGGATATATATATATATAAATCTAGGAAAATTTTAAAAAATATAGGAAAGGTTCCGTTCATAAATTCGAACGCCGAGAAATATAAATTCGGAACGCCGAATAACTGGAAAAAAATAAAAAAAAATACAATGGTGGTTGTCGAGTGTCGACTACGGTCTTAATAGCTTTGAACAATAAGTTTGTGTGCTATTTGGGTAGAGTCGCCGCGGGGTGCGATTTCTCGGGAAGTGCTTGGTTGAGGGTTGTGTTTCTGTTGACTTTTTACTTCGTGGAGAGAGATGTTTTCTGGGTCGGTTTCTGTAGGGTGCGGTTGTGGTGGTGACTGACGTTGTTTCTGTTGAAGGTATCGACGAAGAATATAATAAAAACAGCCTCCCAGAACAACAGTACCTAAGCAGCTGGTGATTACCGTTATGACGGTTGAGAGGTAGGATGAGGGTGTTGATTTAGTTGTCATCTGTAATAGGTGATTGAGGTCATAAGTGACGTCCGATAAGGATCGGTCTGCTAACTTGATATCGTATTCTGCGTTTAATTTGTCCTCTTGAGTTTGTGGATCGAGGAGACGGTTTTGAAGGATTTGTAATTCCGTTTGGTTTAAAAGTTGTTCAATTTGGGGAACAACTAGGTGTTGTGCGACTTCTAGTTGTAAGGTTGATTGTCTTTGAAATTGTGAGGTTAGGATGATTCCGGGTAGGTAACCGGTACATGCAGTTGGGAGATTAATTCTTCCCGTATGATTCAATTTGTGTGTTGTAGATATATATGGTGCTTTCTGAGGTCTTGTGGGGCATCTAATAGTTAAGGTGAGAGGTTCCGGTGTGGAATAAATCCAGGTTCCCTGTCGATCGGTTCTTTTAAAAATTGGGGTATATTTTGCAACAATTTGTCGAACACATAGTTCTTTAACTTGGGATTCGATTCCATTAAATAAAGCATATTCACAACTTTGGTGAGGAAATCGTTGGATCGGAACATTTAACGAACAAATAGGTAAATGATCTATTTCGCACATGGCGAGTTCGAATCGTTGGAGCAACATGTACGATTGTCTATCCATCGATAGAGCTATTATAGGATAATTCGTTTTAAATTGGAAAAAGGTCTTTAATGTGGAGATGTATGTTGGAAATTTGACAATTTCATACATATCAAAATATCCACTGGGAGTGATTAAGGGAATTTTTGCGAAAATTCGTAGTTTACCAGGTAGGGCTACTGCGACGGTAGTCAGCCACTGGTAATACTTAAACAACGTATCCGGTTGTATGGGTTCGATCATTGCGTAACCTTCCGGAAGTTGAAGTTGAATGTCTCGTAGAGTTTTTAACATGACTTCTCGTGAAATAAAATATGTACTCAATCGACCTTGTTCTAGAATATCAATAGCTTCTCGTAGTTCTACTAATTGGAAATGAAACTCTTGAACGGAGAATTCGATCGTTCGCAGAATTATCTCAAAGGCTAGGTTATACTGGTATAAATTTATGACTTCTCCAAAATATTCTTGTCGTTTAAATAATATATAGATCTGGTGTCTATTATGTTTGCTTATATTTAGGGTATCATTTAATAAGGTCGTTTGCGAACGCAATAAATGAAGAATTCCTTCGTTACGCTGTTTAATGTTCGATATTTCCTTATTTAAGGCTTCAATTTCTTCTGATGTTGCCGTTCCGAAGAGGAATTTGAGAGCTTTTCCTCCTATGTCTATAAAGCCTCTTCTTCGTTTAGGAGACGATTTTAGCGTAATTAGGTCAGTAAGTTCTTTATATCTCTTATGATAGGTGAAGAATGAAGCTCGGAGGACTTCGAAGGACTCCTCCGAGCTTCATTCCTCACCTATCATGTAGGTATTCATGTAGGGAGATTTCACTGGGTTTGAGGATTTTCATTCATTGGAGTCGTTCGTTGTTCTCGTTGTTGAATCATGGCATCTAAATAGGATAAAGCTTGTGAGATGAATTGAATCTGTCTCTCTATATGTTCAAAGTTTAGTTCAGTGACCAGGGTCCAGTGACTTGTGGTCATCAAAAAATTTCCTTGGTAAAGGAAAAGTATTCCTTTAGAAAATTCGACGTGGGTTGATGCAGGTTTCATGTCCATAGACTTGATACTAAGGATAAGAAAAGTGATTTGGAGATAATCCATTTTGGTTTTGTTGATGACGACGTCGGCGTCACTTTAGGTCAGTTTGGTTCAGGTTCACCCTTAGTGTATGGGAAGTTTCTTCCACTAGAATAAGGAAATATCTTTATTAATTTCCATGGTTCCTTCTTTGATTATGATAACAAGAGGTTAAGAAGATGACCTATGATGGATATTTGTTAGGAAAATTAAATTGATTAACACAAATTTGTACTACGATTAGATTGCTCAACTTACTATGAGGAAAAGTAGTGGTTGCCCTATCCATAATTTTTAATGAGGAGAGGATGATCGACTAGTGGTGAGAGAAATCAATCGAGGTATACGGCTTCGTGTGGGTCGTGACATAACCCAAGGTTCATCTGCAACTGTCCCTTGGCTTCGAAGAGCATAAGGAAGGATAAGATTTCGTTTTTCTTCTACATCATGTTCGGAGAGTTCGCTTTCCGCTTCAGTGTCATCACTTTCATTTTCGCTTTCCGGTAGAGATGGGAGTATGGAGGTCAATGAGAAGTCCTCCTCCGAGTCAGTGTAAATACACTGTTGTGGAGCGGCCGTTGGGCCGTCTTCTCCCAGGAGTGTGTTGAATGACTCGCCGGTCATGTCTGTGTTATCCGGCGGTGTTCTATGTCGCCTAAATTTCCTTCGGTTTGCCGGTTTTCCTCTTGCTCTCCGCTTCGGTCGCTTTCCTCTCTTTTCTCCTTCGACGGAAGTTATATGTTCAATTTGGAAGGTGTCCACAGAGGGTTTTTCCCTTTTATTTAGGATTTTCTGCCTTCGCTTCCTTCTGCATGCTCGTTGTGGAGTACAAAAATGTATAGGCTTTCTATTGGGTAGCATCACTCGTGCCTTTGCAAAATCAAATGTTAATTGCGCCGCTTCAATGATGTCGCGGCCTAAAATCCCTTCACACGGGGATGTGATCTCATCTCGTACGATAGCACATTGCATTCGAAGTTTCCGTCCTCGTAATTTAAATGTAGGCATCGCTGTTCCGATAGCGATAGTTGGCTTCCCTAAGATGGGTCCCAAGTTTTTTCTAATTCCAAATTTGATATGAGCTTTCCCATTCAATCTATTTGCTAGGTCCTTTGATATGAGCGTACAATTCACTCTAGGGTCAATTTGCATTTTCACTGGGATATTATTAAGATAAACCAATATAACAGGGTTAGAATTTACTAAGGTTGTTAAGCCTATTTTGC